AGACGATTACACCCATAGGGTGTATGCGCGCAGTTTTTCGGGGGGGTCGCCTAGACAGCCCCTTATTATTATACTTTTCTCATTTTGGTCCATATTTACTGTTATCTTCACGCCATGTGGCAATAGTTAAAAGTGATCACGACTTTTTATTAAAAAATATAAAATTACATATACATTTATATACATGTATACGTATATCGATGCTCTACATAAATCTGCCTGAATATAGTGACGATAATGACCATTTATATTTCGGCCATGCGGCGTTTTCTCATCGTACGATAGTAAAAATGTGGTCAGCAAATGCAACGGCACTTCGGATCAAAGCGCGCGCATTCAGGCGAATGCATATATGCAAACACAGATAATCGTAGTTAAATTATAAAATGAGGAAGGGTTTTACGGAGTTTGTATTGGTAATATAATAAGGAGATTTATAGGTACACACCCACTCTTTGATGCGTACACACCCACCTGAATAGAGGCCCTTCCTCCATTGCCGTAATCTTCTTCGCCAGGTACTGCACACTTATTTATACAAATGCCATATAAATATTCTTTGCTTTGTGCACACCCCTCCATAATACAGGCCTCCTTTGTGTCAGCACACAGCCTTGCGTATGGATCCGCTCTCACTATCCGGCATCCCCCTATAAGTGTCCCAATTTTTACTACCGTTTTTCCTAATTTAAATAGAGTCCAGAAACACGTAACAACGATTGAAATGCGAGAAGCAATGAAGCTGGACGGGCGCTCTAGCTCCCGCGGCGAATTAAAAGAGGCACAGCTTGTGACCATAACACACATACACACGTCGGCCTACGCCCACGCACACGTCACGTACACACGGTCGATGACCTGCATTGGTGCGTTCGCTGGCGACCATTAGGTTTTGACCTTAGCAGATGGCGACCGGATCGCTTAAATTTACGTGGAGGCCACGCAGTTGCTTAACTCGGTTGCCAGACAGCTTCATCATCAGATGCGTTTGTGCCTTTTTACCTTATTGGTCCTTAGAATAATCATCAGATTACGCTCTTTCGACACATTACGTGTACTAACACATTCGTTTCTATCTAACACCTCAGCACACGCAGTTTTATATTTCTGTACCCAGTCAAGTGCTGCTGATGAATAGTCAAGTCTTTCGTCGCAAGAAGATGGTAGAAGATAGGTACAAGACAAAGGGTCGGCAAAAGGATCACTAACTCTTTGTGGACTTCTTTTGTTCGTCTGCTTGCTATAGTTCGAGCAGGCGACGATGTAAATTGTCGACCTGAAGATGATCACAGTCGCTCCCTCCACTGCACCAACTTTTGCTATCGCAGCGAGCATCATAGCTCGTCCGGGCATGAAGATGCACGAGATTCCGGTACGATATTGTACTCTCTTTCTCGCGGTGTAAGACGTAGTCGACCTTACTGTGCATCTATTTTTGGCATGGAGGCGTTTAATCAGGTGGCTGAGAACTCGACAATGTTTGTTGTCTTTTAAACCGAATACGACCCTGTTCGTTCACTTTGGAGACAGCGTCTGGCTTCTGATCAGCTGCAGCTTGCAACAAAACATGATCGAATGCACTTGGATCGCGGCGAGTAGAAACGTTGTATTTTCCGCGACGTCCTCAAGAGCCAACTGGACGACCGCGACCCAGCGATAGCGCAAATCCAGTCACCCCCTGCACCGGACTAAAGATCGCAGTGCTGTCTATACATAGAAATCGATACATTTGTATCTTGTGCATTTACGTTTTTAATTATGGCAAATGATAACTTTAGACTTTTAACTGGGAAGGTACATGTCCCCCATTGATAGTTTTTCTTGCAGTGTGAGTCAGATGTATGCATATTACGTGACCTAAAAATTATAATCATCTATTAGTTAAGGGAAATGGTAGTAAAAATTGGGACACTTATAGGGGGATGCCGGATAGTGAGAGCGGATCCATACGCAAGGCTGTGTGCTGACACAAAGGAGGACTGTATTATGGAGGGGTGTGCACAAAGCAAAGAATATTTTTTATGGCATTTTGTATTAATAGGTGTGCAGTGCCTGGCGAAGAAGATTAAATGCTTAAGGAGGGGCCTCTAATTCAGGGGGGGATGTACGCATCAAAGAGTGGGTGTGTACCTATATCTTTAAAAATAAACTACATTTGATATAATACTATTCGGAAGTTTGCCTAATCCATGTCATATTGCCGATTGCGCTAATTGACATAATTGCATGTAAGATATTGGATCAATTCTACACATTGTTTGTGCTTTTCCAAGCTCAACTTAACATCGGTAAGCGATTGCAATAAAACAGATTGTTTTGGAAGTACCCTGATTGGTTTGCAAGCTGTGGGCCACTACGTTTAAAATAATTAGAGAAAATCAAATTACGTCGTTCAGATGCTTAAGTATTAGACATGCTTAGCCGCGTATATTTCTAGCAACTAGCATATGAATGGCATTCGCTATAGTTAAAGTGCTGAATAGCATAGTGCTAAAACTCTTGGACAAGCTTCGTCCACAGATACGGTGAGCAGAGACGACAAGCCTACCTAAAACCTGCAGTCAACTACTACCGATCGCCAGGGCACTGTGAATGTGTGTCACTTTTATGTATAAATAAGTATGGTCGTGTGGAGATATTTATGATCTTTCAATACGTTGTCTTTGATTTACGACAGTCCAAAGAGTCTTAGTTGACTTGTTTACATGACAGATGAATTACTTCTTAGTGTTACTCTATTACACATAATACACCAGATTTTCTACTACATTGCAGACTGAAATTATGTGCGACCCACTTCTGATTGGCGTTAATAAGTATCGTTGTACTGATGGCTATCACTGGACGTAAAATTAATATTGAGGTGACATATTGACGGCAAATTACTTTCTCAAGAATTTTATCGCGGCAAATGCAAAGAAGCTTTAGGGGCATAGGTTTAGTTTATGTGCGTTTAGAATGTGTGATGCAGCCAATATTGTGCAAACGACTCGCGTCAATTCACCCCGATCGCCCTTGTACGATGAAGGGCTTGGATATTAATTGTCAAACAAGAAATTGTACGATATTATAAATAAATACTCGTTGGAGTCAAGTACACGAATGCGTAAAAAAGGATTTGTGTAGCTTTTCGACGATAAATGGTAATTCGGTTCAATTTATTGTTTTGTATCAACCTGTCTGATCAACTTGTGATCATTCAGAATGTTTCGCCTCTCGCTCTCTGCAGCTACATCTTCGATTCGGCCGAGTGATATCCACCACCTACTTGCCGGAGACGCTGGTGAATGAACAAAGGTCATTGAGAAAATATTCGACTCGTAGGCCGTTATGAAGCCAAACAATCCAATTTGAATTACTATTTAGACAAATCACTTTGGTTTTGCGTGTTTTCTGGTACACTGGATCCGGCGTCGCACGTGGACAAGCAGATAGCTGCATGGTGTACAAAGTTGATATGGTATTAGTCGTTTGTCAGTGTAAAATGGAAGGGCAAAGCAGTTGAAAGTCGACGTGGACCTCCGTCCACTAAATGAGATTCTCGAGTCTCCACGCTATGACACTCGCACGCTGACATTGCACAGCGTATCCTTGCCTGTATAAAAACATTGCGTTTGATATCGCTACGCCGTATCGTCCACTATCTCTCATGCGATTTCTAGTGCCAATAGCGTCACATGGTATGCAATCAAAACGCGATGTATGGCACTCGTCGACTCACGGCTACTTGTTGTCACCTGACGTCGCTCCTGTGTAGGCGTACAAGAATGAATGTGATTCTATGTTGCATACAATTGCTGGAGGTGTAGTGCTGGATGTCGTGATGAAGGTCATTATTGGGTTGTAGGTGAAGCGGTCATTGCAGAAGGAAGAGGTGGTGCAGTCCTTTAATACAATAACACGTAATGTGTTGAAGACATACATATACTGACACGCATATTGTGTCTCAAGTAGAGCAGAAGCTAGGCTTAAGCAGAGCAGCACTTTGACACCTACATGACATTTACGCCGACAAGTTCTGGACGCGCATATCACGCGAGATGAAGAAGTTCCATTGACCTGTCGTGGTGGCATCTTTTTCGGGCGAAAAGTACTAGCGCATTCTCCTAATATTTCTGGCAGTATGCATCGGTACGAGGGGCATAGAAGGCACGAAACAAGCCGCAGAATTTGCTTCGCTACTTACACTTTTTGCGACGCGCGAATTGTTCTGACGTCTGGTCGCACTATTGGCAAGATGAGGCGTTTGTTTGCGGCAGACGAAGGACCTCTCGACTTATAAACGCAGTGGTCGACGACACACTGCTTGACAGCGACATTTACGGGGCAAGACGTAGACTAAGCCATACAACGTGCGGGACGACGCGAAGATGCTACAATTCTGCAGAAACTTTGCGCTAGAGGACCTACGCAGCATATGCTGCCATGCTACTTTTTTCTTCTGGTTTATGGTCTCGTATCGAAACCGAATGCGGCCTCATCAGACGACGCCTTCTTGGCATTGATTTGGGCGTTCGCTCCACGGTACTCGAGCTCTTCATCTGCCCCTTCACTTATCACAACTCTTGCAAGTTTTGACCTTTTGCTGCACGTAGGACGACCTCCAATGTATCACCCCAATTCCACCGTGCAGCTCTGTCGCGCAGCATGACACTGGATGATCACAAATAAAGCAGTCACAACATATTGATTTTCTATACTTAAGCTCCGTCTAAACGGCTCACTCCGCGCTACAATACAGCGTGCACTACGCTGCGAGGTAGCGGGATGATACGGAGCAATGGGAAAACAGTCCCAACCGTCGCCCTCGTCTGCTACTACACGCACGAAGCGTCCATGGCGCCGTCCAGACCTCGCACGAGAAAAAGGAGCACAGGACAGTCGAATGGAAATCCAGGACACACATGGCAGAACACGTGTCCCCAGCGATCGCCCTCCACCACCAGAACACCCCCCCCACCCTTCCCAACTCGAACAGACACAACTCACGCGTTCTTCACTTAACTGATCCGCGCCACTTTGCTCGGCACCACCACCGGGTTCTCCTCCACCAACTTGCGCTTCGCTGCCGTCTTAAAATTAAACGCGCACGCGTGCTCCTCCGCGTATCGGTGTTTGCTGCAAAACGTAAAGCTGCAGCGGCAGGTGACAGCCGCCAAGCCGACTTTCGCCTTGCACGCCCAGCAGCGTCGGCGGTTCTTCTGTCCCACGTGTGCGGCACTCTTTGACTCGTGCCGCTTTGGCTCGGCCAGCGCCTCGACGCCCTCCGTCGGAGCCACACGCGCTGTCGAACAACGAGTCGAAGCCGACAACTTGGAGCGCTTCAGGCAGCTCTTCCGGAACGTCAGCGCCGTTTGGCCGCTCTGCAGCACCACCGGCGAAGGCGACAGCACGTCCGACGAGGCCTTCGCGGTGGCGGGCGACGCCGCGCTCGGCAGACCTTCGGTAGAAGTCAGCGCTGGCGTCGAGACGACGACGGAGGACGAGGGCGAAGCAGTCGCTGTGGCGCTCGCAGACGAGACGCTGACGTCCGCAGCGGCCGGCGCGCTCGAAGGCGTCGAGGTCTTGGCGACCATCTCGGGGGTCTCGGGGGCGGGTGTTTCGTCGAACACGGAGGGGGACCTGTGCGCCATGGAGCGAAAGCGGAAATGAGGGAGAAGTGGAAGGGGCTGCGGCCAGGAGAAGGAAAAGCAGGAGGGGGAGCGAGAACGTTGCAAAAAACACTTCTGGGACAGGGGCACCAACGCATACAAAAACGCAGTGGGTAAAAACTCGTGGAAGCCGGGTTGGTGTAACGGCTGCGAATAATGGCAAATCGGGCGACTCCGCGAAAAGCGTTGCTGCGACCGACCAGGCGCTCAAGAGCGGATGGTCTGCTCTGCTGCTGCTGCCACATACAGCACACAGCGGACGACAACCAGCAACTTTACCTCCTCTATCGCCTCGGGACAAAGCCTGTTTTGACCTTGATCAACGATGAGGCGCTACCCAACTGGACCTGGGTGCTAGCCAGGCGCAATCAAAGCATGCCGTCTCCTCCAGCCATGTTGTTATATTCTCTTGGCAGCGGCCGTTTCGTCGTCGGTGAATAGAAGTTGCACAGGTTTCGCTCGAAATGAAGATGGCGCTGTCTGCCGTTGTGGCGTCTACACAAGCCTTGCCGCAGTTGTAATATTGATTGCAGGATAACCTCGTCATTGCGGACGGATGGAATGCGTGACGACTCGAATTCCTGTGCCACGAAGCCCTAGCCCTACGATGATTTGAAAGAATTCAGCTCGAGCGACATGGTGGCTTGTGATTGGACGCTAACAGAATTGTGTTGCTCGGTCGAAACTTTCTCCCGTTTTTGTCTGCGGCGATCAGTCGTTCCTTTCACTTTGCAACTTGAAAATCATAATTGGCTCTTGCCTACAAATTGTGCCAACAACTGCCCATCGCTAAAATGTTCAGGCACAGGCGATCGTCGGCAGTTAGGTTCGGATAAAGCGCACAAGAGCAAAGCATCGCGCACTATTTGAAAAACAGTGCCATGTCATTCACAAAAAGTAGATATAATATATAATAAATTGATGTAAATGACTTAAAAGTAAAAACAGTGGCGGCACTAAGTTGTAATGATAGAATTGCCAGCAGACTTCATCGTCAGTCATTACAAAATTACGGATTCGCGGTACTACAGATTAAGACACACCGTTTTACAATGTATCTAAAAATTTAGGGTAATGATATTTTCTCCACCCTATTTTTTTACTATTTTCACCCCCCTGGAACCAAAACAAGGTGCCTTCTAATTTTTATAAAACAGTGCGATGCACAAGGTCACACGCCGCGTATGGCTATTGTATAACAAGATGATCTTGCGTACAACATTGTCCTACATCTATTATAAATATGCGCATTGGTATAATGCGTGTTCAACTGGTGAACGACAATGTTATCACGGATGGTTGATACATCAAGGTTGCAGTTGTGTGAGCTTCTAAATACGGAGGTCTTAAAGATAGGATACATATACATGTTTGCATTACTACAACATGTAGTTGAGATCAACATAGAAAGCTAAACGATAATTCACTCTAGATGTTGTGCTGAAGAAGACAAGCGGGTATCAAAGTGTTATACGATGTTCGTATTGTCTAAAAGATGGATTATACTCTCGGTTAGAGCTGACAACAATAAAAAATGTTCTCCTATAAGGTCAAGCATATGACGAACACGCCTAGGATGTTTAGAACATGGACGCTAGAGATAAAGAATCCCGCAAACGACAGTTACGCCCGAGCGTGATCTTACTCGGCGCTACACGACTATGTAGATAATTTTTTATTGCGTCATACGAACGTTTTACAGTGCCGTGGTTGCGTACTAATTGGATCACACGCTGGTACATAATCTAACTGCTTACTTAAAGAAAGGGGTCAAGACGAAGAATACCAGGAAAAGAAAAAAAATGTGTCGTTTACTGTAATACCGACCCTACATCAGCTCTACGATAATCGGGAACAAAGCAGACTGCGAACATGCTAAATTCTCGTACAGTACGACCCGCAGGTGCGCTTCCGTTTTGCTTTGTTGTTTTCTTGGTGTGTTTGTACCATGCAAGTGACGATACATAGACCACGATGCTCTGTCCGCCATGGCCAATGAGTACTGCTTCTTTTACTGTGCCCACGCCTCTAACCTATTCGACGATCGCTGTACGTTTTTTATGCATCTCCTACACCCTTGCAAAATTGGTGCATGAGCGCTCATTGTGCCCATATTGTCTGCAGATACTGCACTTCCGAGTCAAGATAGCAGACCCCTCGATATACTCAAACGCAGACGGTTCTCGCAGCAGATTTTGTCTGTTAGTTGCTCCGCATAGTCTTCCTTTTGGTATTGTTTCGACTGGACCTATCACAGACACGCTTGGACCCGTCAATATTGTATTAGGACTGTATGCTCGAATAGAAATTTTTATATGGGTTGGTGCTGAGTCGAATACTTAAAATAGATGTGGAACCAAGTCATCGATTCGAACGTTGCTTTTCACATCTCCTGCAGCAGAAGCGAGAGTAAACTTTTCTAACCACCAATGCGAGTCGAAATCTTTTAGTGTGAAGGGTGCATCATCGTTGATTCCATTTTGAGCAGATTGCTTGAACGGTAGGTCTATAGCCAATCGAAACTTGGAATCACATTGGTAGGTATATGCATGGTGTTCGTGGACGAATGTGAGCGCATGAGATGAAACTTTATGCACAACCTGGGTGTATATGGGCGCTGCTGCGAATTTTGGTCGTTTCATGAGATCATCAGCGTGCATCATTTTCAGCTCCACCACTTGGTGCTCGATCACAAAGTGGAGACATTAAATTACTGTGAGCTGATCACCAATTGACGATCGCAAAAGGCGCTTCAAGAACGAATGCAATGACTCAGCTCCAGATGTAGTGTATCAGCCAATGATGGAAAACGTCTCCCACCCACGCTTAAATAATCTTCTCTTTGTGCTTGACCCACGTTCTATACAGGTGGCGTCTGACAAAATGGAGATGTCGGTACTTGGTCTTAAATTCGTCTCATTGTTCTTCGGAAACTTCGATACTTGATGTATATCAGAGAGCGCTACAGTCCACAATCATGACTTCCCATTCATCTCTATTCGTAAAGGAAATTTTGCATTTAGAAACAACATTTTTATTTATGTGCCAGCGGCACAGCAATCGTGTCGCAAACGAAAATACGTGGTGCTCAGCGTTTAAGAGAGCCGAATCGTTGTCGCCGACTAGAATTTGCGAATTTTAGTCGTTTGTTTAGACTCTTAAGCATCTTCTTAAAGAGGTTAGATCCCGTTTGTAGTTCCTTTCGTTCTTAGTTGGCATAAATGTTGTGCAAATGAGGAATGACTGGCCAAACGGGGTGACGCCGACACAACTGAGCATAGGTATCGTATACTTTTATTCTTGTAAGTGCAGTCGAGTACGATGACGTCACAGAACTCTGCATCAAGGGCGATGGCATGAGGATTGCAAACATCAAGGGGCAAATTTGACCCTATGCGGCAAGATTGAGATTACAGCAGTTGTTTTTTGCTTGCATCTCATCGAACAGCGCTTGAATCGGCATACCTCCATTCAAGTACTCTTTGCGCCCCTTCTGTTTATCATTGTAAGTGTCCCCGCTTACGTCGCAGAAGTTTAGATACTCCTATCTGAGGAACGCAAGTTGCTCTTTTGGCCGTATACCTTCTCTCTCTAGTCTAATGCGCTTGCTTCGTTGCTCAATTTTTAGCTGTCTAGCGTGAGAATGCATGTCGAGGTTTGTGGACATGTCATGGTTGTGCGCTTATTCATGTCGAGTCACCTGCCACATCTTGACAACGCCGATCGGTCGCGCTATGAGCAGTACTCGCATCCTGTACGTTTTGTATTTGTCTTTCGCGCGACGGTAGTAGACTTAAATGATCCCGATCGGTCGCACACAACAATCATTTTCCCTGTTTTATTGTCGGACCTAAAGATAGAAAGAGAAAACTTAAGCTTGCGCGCTTTCAATTGGAGAGCCATGAACATCTCCTTTGCGGAAACATACTTGAGATCGAAGAAATTATTAGACTCCATCAAATATCAAGAAGTTCCTTATGGTAGTTGTGAAGTTTAAAGTAAATGGTAGTGCATAGTACCAATTAATATAGTTGCCATTATTGATTACGTATAAGTGGTAAAATACACCGTGTTTTGGTTCCAGGGGGTAAAAATAGTATAATGGGGGTAAATATTATTACCCAAAATTTAAGATATGTTTAAGAATCGAGCAACAAGGCAATTGTTTTAGCTAGCCTAGCGTTTTTTAGGCAAGCTGCTTATAATCGAATCGAATTTTAATGGAAAAGCAATACGATCTGGTCGTACATTCTACACACCTGATCGTGCTACTTTTACAAAAACTGCATATATCATTCGATCTTATTGCTTGCACTGCGTTTGCAAAGAAAAAATAAGGGTTTTATGATGACTCTATCGGATTCCACTCGGTGCCTTAGGCATCAACCGTTCCAGTCCAGCGGTTTTCTGTTTGATCACGTCTTAAAATGAATGTAAGGTCCTTAAACAATGTATGATACGCATTGCTCTTAAAACCCCACCCGAACCCATGATTCCAATTAAATCGGGTGTCAGCAATTATAATCTAACAAAAACTTTACCTCCAAACGAGCATATTATGTTCTGTGGGGAAAAGGATGCGTTAGGCTATACAGCCGGGTCTATGTGGCGTACAGCAACCGAGTAGCAAATTCCTGTCGCGCGGAACGATAAAATCACGCACCTGGCTAGCCCGCACCTGCTAGTACCCACCTGCATTTACACACCCAAACGTGGCTAGCCATCGATGATGGGCGTGTAGACCTAAGCTGATATGGATGATGATTGGCCATCATCGAATATGCCGAATAACTCGGCCGGGTTTGGACTAATATTACAAATCATGCCGTCTTATATATGTATACTAAAATTTAAAAAGTCATATTACCGCACCAATTGATCACCTATTTATAATACCCCGCTCGATTAGACAATATTAAACTTGCGCCGATAAGTTAAATATTTAAAAATGTACTAAACAGTCAACGGCAGAGTTATACACG